GTGGATATAAGTTTACAGCATTTCACCAGTATTCCACCAAAATAAAAGTATTGACCCAAAAATTAAGATCCTGTCATTAATTACTCATGTCGTTCCAAACCTTTAAGACCTTTGTTCATCTTCGAAACACAAATTAAGATATTTTTGATGAAATCCAGGGGCTTTTCATAGACAGCTATGCAACTAACACAATCAAGGCCCAGAAAGGTAGTAAGGACATCATTAAAATAGTCCATGTGACATCAGTGGTTTAACCGTAATTTTATGAAGCTACGAGAATACATTTTATGTGCAAAGAAAACAAAAATAACGACTTTATTCAACAATTCTTCTCTTCATTCTCCACTGCATTCTAGAGAGTACATGCGTGTGATGCTGCTGACGCAGGAGCTGTTCCTTGTTTACAAGCAGAGGAATGCCCATTGTTGTGATACTCTCGTGAATGGCAGCGGAGACTGACCAGAAGAAAAGAAATCGTTGAATAAAGTCACTATTTTTGTTTTCTTTGCGCACAAAAAGTATTCTTGTAGTTTCATAAAATTAAGGTTGAACCACTGATGTCACATGGACTATTTTAACGATGTCCTTACTACCTTTCTGGGCCTTGAATGTGGTAATAACATTGCTGTCTATGGGAGGGTCAGAGAGCTCTCGGATTTCATCAAAAATATCTTAATTTGTGTTCAGAAGATGAACGAAGGTCTTACGGGTTAGCAACGACATGAGGGTGAGTAATTAATTACAGAATGTTCATTTTTGGGTGCACTAAATCATAATGACATATCAAAATGACATAAATCTTAGCAGAGGCGGACAGTAGTGAAGTATTTTTACTTTACTCAAGTAAATTAAAAAAGTATCTGTAGTTTATCAGAGTGTTTTTCTTTGGAAAACTTTACTTCACTACATTCCAAAGCATAATGTCATACTTTTTACTGCACTTTATTTCATAAATAAAAGTTGTTGTTTGTTTTACCTTTAATACTTAAGAACATTAAAAATGTAGTACTTTCTTGTACTCAAGTAAATCTTTGAAATACTTTTACTTGAGTAAAAGTAAGAAAGTAATAGATTTCTAATGTAATTAAGTATTAAATTATATTTATTATGAAACGTAGTGCAGTAAAAAGTATTACTTTACTTAACAATATTATGCTTTGGAATGTCGTGAAGTAAAATTTTCTAAAGAAAAACACTCTGATAAAGTACAGACACCTGAACAGCAGAGTAAAAATACTTCACTACTATCCGCCTCTGAATCTTAATAATGTAACTCCTTATATATACAGTCAAACCAAAAATTATTCAGACACCAGATACAATTTTTGATATTTTTTTTTTTTTTACTAGTGGGTGCAGGACACTATAGTTCATTTATGTAAGTGAGGATAGCAAAATAAAGTAAACTGTGACATTTTATACCCAAAAATTCTTCATACAGTGGGCTACCAGTAAAACTGATAAAAATTTAGGACCAAAAATTATTCAGACACTTTGACCTGACCAAGTTTTGCTTAAGTGCTTTTTTCTTTAATTGCTAATGCTATCTTTTTACACCACAGACTGAACAAAATTAAGCATTGCTTAGTAATTGGTTGACCTAAATTGCTCTTATCTAATTGTGTACTTACATTTAACAGCTGACAGCTATTCAACCTAATTCATTCTCAAAGTTATCTGACATTATCAAGATGAATTTGTTTTGACACAGTTTAGCTTTGAGTTCTTGTTGTATTTTATGACCATTTTCTACCAAGATCAGAGAGCCATAAACATGCATATGTGTCCTTAATTATTATATCTAAGGTGGGGGGGGGTTAACCCTATGGGTTATTGCATGTTTTAGCATGGCTGGAAACCTCTACTGACCAATCAGAAGCCTGTTTTGTAATACATATGAACTATTTTTCATTTATTTGAGATGCACATTTATTTATACTCATTGTGTCATCTTGTTGCAGTTCTGTATTTGTGTCACTATGTCTTGTCTTATGCAATATGTTGTAATCTACATCATGTTGCTCAAAAATACAAACAATATTATACTGCATAATGTAATAACTGATGTGTCTGATGTCTTAATTGCGAGGTGAAATGTTTACTTGGATACATGTTTGCATAAATATTTTGTATTTAGGGCATGATGGTTTTGAGTTCACCTTATTATACAGTATAGTATGCAGGTTACGGTTTGTGTGATGCCATTGGCGCACCAGTCGGACACATGGCTTATAACCTGTTTGGGGTGTCCTGTTTCTAGAGAAAGTCATAAATAATGGCGACACACATTACATGAATATACATTCCTTGTTGAATGACATTTTATGGAAATGTTTCCTTCTTAATAAATTGCTCTGACTACCTCCAGTATAAACAATATCTATTTCTCATCTGAAGTCTTAGCTGCACTGTTGCATATGCATGCTGTGTTCATATTTATTCATGTGTGGTTGCTATGGCTACATCCTACACACATTTCTACCGTTGTCCCTTGAAAACAAAACTGGAGGTGTTAACAAATGCTGTGTTCAGACGTAAGAGAATTTTTAAGGTTAAGAGGTCTTTTAGGTTGCCTGACCCATTGTTTTTTTCTCACTGCAGATTTACTGCCAATAAGCGTGAGCGCAGTGGTTTTATTATAGCCGTGTTCTGCTAGGGAACTGTCTGCGGCCAGAATATGACATTTAGAAAGAGCCATGAGCTGCATTCAGCAGAATATTTTAACCATATTTCAAAGACAATAGAAGTAATTATGAAATTACATATGAAGATGTACTTAATGAGGAAAGAAAGTACTCTAAAGTTCAGCTAATATAAATTTAAAATACAGTTTTGTTTAATTGCACTTACAGTAAGTATCTGGAAATACTACATTCAGTTCACACGAGTATATTCTTTTAAAGTTCATTATTTCCATAAGTAAACTTTGTATATTGCTAAAATGTATTTCTTTTGATTCTGTATCAAATAATGGAGTCAAACATTGATAACTATAGCTTCAGCATTTAATGACTGTAAATGACAAACATGAATGCCAATAATTAAGCGTGTTTTTTTATTTTTAATGAAGTCTTGTAAAGTGCTGTTGCTTTTGAATTCCATGGTATAATGTGTCACTCTCACAAAGAACCACGTTTTGTATACAGAAATGGATTAAGCACTTAGATCACGAGTGACAACCTTCCGCAGTGTGTATGTGCTATTGCTAAAATTAATAAAATAACATAGCAACTCCAGCTTCCCTCTATGAAATAATTGGCTTCCGAAAGCCGAGATTCATCACGAGCAAATGTTCTCTTACTGACATCACCCTGAGAAACGATTACCGCGCTAATAGAGCTGTAGAGCATTTGAGAGTAGCTTCCGCTAGTCATTTATATCACTTTATATTCTCTTTGAACCTGCATAATACAACCATGCTAAATCCCAGTTTTATCATTTACTGACCTGATCGCTATTTGATTGCCTCACAAAACAAACATATCATTTCTTTTACAATATGTAGGTCATGATGTATTGAAATGTTAGTTAAATAAATAAGTCTACATAATTACTATCAAGAGACTGAAAGATAAGCGTGTATGGGATCCAGGTTTTCTGTGGGAATCTGAGTCCAAAGCTCTCTGACTCAACTCTTCATGTCCTCTTGCTAATTGGTCTCTGTTTTTGGAGGGCTATGAATGCCACTTAAATATAAAATGAGATGAAAAATAATTATCTATCTATCTATCTATCTATCTATCTATCTATCTATCTATCTATCTATCTATCTATCTATCTATCTGTCTATCTGTCTGTCTATCTCTTTGTCTATCATCTCTTTGTCTATCTATCTGTAGTGTTTGTGTGTGTGTGTGTGTGTGTTCATTTGAAAAGTAGTTTAATGAAAAAAAATATATATATTTTTTATTTTATTGTTTTTGGTAACACTTTATTTGAACCCTTTAAATATTATGTTATATAAAAAAGTGTTTTAATGCATTAATGCACCTTATAAAGCATTTTATGATCTCATGAACAATTGTAACCACAGTTATAATACTATATATATTCTACTTATATATGTATTACAATTATAATTATAATTTATATATTCATTGTTATGCTTTTAGCATAATGCTTTATAACATATGACAAGCAAACAAATCTAGCAAGACATATGTAAAGTAATTAAACAAGTCATGAAATTTGCAAATATTATAATGCATTTTAAATTTGGTTAAATTTCATTTATGAAAATATACTGTATAATGCATTAAAACATACATTATAAATGCCTTTATAATGCATTATACATGAGTGTTGCCCAGTTTTGTTTTTTAAATAATTTGTTTAATTTTAGTTAAACAATAAAATAAAATTTTATTTAAACATTAAATAATTTTAAAAGCGACTTATTAATTGCTTTTTTTAACCCATTTGACAACTTTTCTTTAGCTTCTTATTTTTAAAATCAATTTATTGTTACATTTAGCTACATTTTTTTTTTACATTTTTACATCAATTTATTTTATTTAAACTTGTTTATGTATAATTGTATCCTATAGAAGCCCGTTTCCGCCACTGAATAAAAAATAAAAGAGGTAATTGTGACTTTTTATCTCACAATTCTGACTTTTTTTCTCAGAATTGCGTGATATAAACTCGCAAATTGCGAGACATAAAGAAAAAAAGGCAGAATTGCGAGTTTTTATCTCGCAATTGTGTTTCGGAAACGGGCTTCCATAGTATCCTCTTTTTTTTTTTTGAAAAATTTTTTTTCACTTAAAAAAAAAGAATTAAGAAGGTCAATACTTTTAAAAAATCTGTTTATATATTTATTTACATTTTTGTACTTGCTAATAATAAAGCCACTGGGAGTTCCTGGAATATTGGGGGAAAATTAGCTGCATATGGCAGGTTTAACAAACAGCTTGACGTGATGTGTGATGAAAGGTGCAGTATTCTCTCGCTCGGCGTGCGAGAACAGGCTTTGATGCTGTGTGTTTGTATCCCTGCAGGTGCCTCAGGATGAGTGGGAGGGTTATCCAGGGATTGAGAAGGACGAGGAGATCCCGTGTCGCCGGATGCGTAGCAGTAGTTATGTCAAAGCCATGGGAGACGATGATAGTGGTGAGTCTGATACCAGCTCCAAGACGTCGCCTCAGAAGACTGTGCGGTCCGATGCCCTTGTCCTTAAATCAGCCATGCAGAGGCCACATATAGACACCCAAAGGTAAGTCTCAATAGATCTTTATTGTTCTCATTTTCAATGCTGAGCTGCCCACAGACTGTCTTGGCCGTTGTTTATCCTCCTGCCTTATCAAACTGTTTCTGCTAAATTCAAAAGCTTGAGTTGTTTCCAGGGCGTTTGCAGAAGTGCTCATTAGAATCAGCTAGTTGTGAAGTGTAGATTCTGTGGTGTTTGAGCATCGCTGAGGACAATATTAATGTGCAGAGAAATTGTGTACTGTATGTTCTCTTAATAGTCTTATTATCTTGTGTGCTTTAGACCATATTCAGCGCAGTCAACAGCTTATGAGGCCTGGCCACAGGGTGTAAAAACGTATTGTAGGGTTGTAAATTGTGTAAAAGAGAAATTATAGTTATAGTTTAACTCTAACCCTGTATGACTTTTTTTCACAAAACAAGATACTTTATAAAAAAATCTGTTTGTTTTTTTGTCCTTGCAATGAAATTCAGTGTTGTTTTATACTCCATTTACTTTCATTGTATGATCATAAAAGTGTTACAAAATAACTTAGTTTGTGTTTTGCAGAAAAATAGACTTGTACAGGTTTGGATGGACATGAGGGGGTGTGATAAAATTGACATTGTTTTGGTGAACTGTCCCTTTAAGGATGTATATTTTTTTTATTTCTTCAGAAATAGTCTAGCTGAATCAATAGAAAATTTCCTGATAAAGTAACGCTGATGCACAAATCTGTTTAATCAAACTCTGAAATTCTATGTTCAACTGAAACTGCCTAGATCTGACATCAAATCTATTTAAAATCATTTCTATTTATCAAACAATTCTTAAAAATGGATCATGGTTTATACTATACAGTAATATTATACATTAATCTTTTCACTCTTACTCTATATAGGCCTACATATGGAAATGTAACTGAGCAGAAAAGTACAAAGTTTCATTGAATAGTACTTGAGTAAAGAGCAAAATAGTAGCATAATGAAGTAGAGTTACTGTAGTACTTTACATCCCTGCATGGCCACACAAGGGAGAGCAGACTGTTAAACTGAATGAGGGATTTTTCATTCACTGTGGTGTGATTGTGCATGAGGGTAGTTCTTCTTCTTATCTGAATGATATATTATATATGATGTTTGTAGCTCAGGAATAGTTCAAACTTAGAATTTGTTTGTGGCTCTGGTGGATCAGTTTAGGCTCTGGGTGATCTGGAATATGAAGTGATGGGATTGTTTTTTTTTTTAACAAATAGTTGAATCCTGTGCTTTATTGCACACCACACCTTTATACATTTTACTTCTTTTAACACCCGATTACTGTGTTGTCATCAGCATATTTGAGTGTGGCTTTAACTATTGGCACACGTGTCACATGTTCAATAAATTACTATTTCTAAAAGGCATATACAAGAGCAATATCCAAAATGTATACGCATACATTACAGTAGAGCAGTAAGGAATTATATAAATAATTTCCACACAATATTTCTTTCTGTTTAGATTATCATAACTTTTTATAGTTATACTTTTATTTTATTATTATTAATATAATTTTAATTGAACTCGTTGAACAGATCGTTGTAAGAATTGTATAACAACTCTCTGGCAACCACCCAAACGCAACACCAACATCAAACAACATCTTCTCTAGGTTTTCCAGAGAGCTTCACAGAGCAGCTGTCATTCACAGCTTGGCTTTTCAAATATACATCAGCCACGCTTCTGGGCACTTTAAAACTAGAAAAGTGACAGAACTCACTCATGCCATCTCAGTATCCAACAGCATTCTTTAAAGCCATGACTCCTGACGATAGCAGTGATGCAGATGTTGGTGTTGGATTTGCAGATTTGGCCCCATACAGGTGTGTTCTAGGAGCTGGAGAGTTGCTCAGATTATGATTTATCACCATGGAGCCCTTCCTGAAAGACGATTAACCCACATTGCCCCAAAGACTGTGCTTATAATAAGTGCACTATGAGATGTTATGGGCAAGAGACACCACTAAATAACAATAGGGACACTTAATTAAGACGTCTCAGGGCTTAACTATCATCGACTCTTGTCTTAATGCAATTGCTGGTATGAAATTTTCTGTAGTCTGCAGAAGAATATTGGATTTTGATGCTAGGAGTGTCTCAAATATTACAGAGCTAAAATATTTTAATGTTGCAATCCACATAAGAATATTAAGGACAACATGATCAAATCAGAGTTTGTTGATTGTATTTTAGTGAATGTCATATCAATGTTGTCTTCCTGGTTTCATAAACACTGACAATAAAAGAGGCCTGCGTTTTTGAGTGTAGCATAGTATAAAGTATGTAATGTTGTACTGTAATCAGAAAATAGTTTTTCTTGTACACTGAGAGGAAAAAAAAAAAAAAAAAAATAGTCAGTTTTACAATTAATTTCAAAGAAACAGCAAAGTAACACATTGTATTACATTTGAAGTTTTGACGTGATCAAAATTGTGCAGTGACCACATAAAGACAGAAATAAAACATAATCTATTTTATCTACAACTTCGAAAACTTTTTTTACAGTGTAATGAGGTGATTTGCCTACTCTTTATATTTTACATATTCAACCTGAATGATGGTTCAATAAAAACCTACATTTAAAGTCAGAGAATTTCTAAATCTCTATTCATTTTACTTTACTTTACTTTTCATTTATGCCTTTGCTGTATTGACAGACTGAGAATGGCAGTACTTGCAATCAAAAAAAAAAAAATATATATATAATAAAAAATAACAAAAATATCTGTCACTTGATATTGCGACATGGGCACGTAAAATACGTAACGTGAAATGTACTGACAGAGTAAATAAGGTCATTAAGTAATCTAGAAAAAGTTATTGGCAATTGACTACTTCAAGTAACTTTCCCAATGCTAGCCTACAGCATAAAGTTTGGATTTTGTTGATACACTGTCCAGACAGTCGTTTTTATTTGCTGTCAGACTGATGATTAGAAGGGCATCTGTTTGGGTGTGAGGCGACATTGCTGAAAATGGAAAACAACATGAGGCACAAGGTGTCTAGGTTGCTCCAGAGACACCATCAAACTCTGTATTTCCCAAAATAGTTGCTCTATGTGTGACTTTGGTGCCTACAAATCCTGCAGACTCAGAAACCCGGAGCTGGGTTCATATAGCTGCTGATGACACATTCATTTTTACATTTGTGTTCTGAGTGAGCACTTTCTTAGCAAGGGAAGGTATCAGTTACCATGTCAATTACCCATTCTAACTTACCCACAATTCTATGCTGTATCTTTTTGAACTTAAAATTATGCCGATTAGATAAACTTAGAGTAAAATAATCTTTTATGTACATTAGGTAATAGGTTATTTTAAAGAAAATTTTCACTTAAAAATGAATAGTTCACTGTTTTTTTCTCTTTCTCATGTTGTTCCAAACATGTTTGACTTTTTATTTTATTCTGTATAACAGAAGTTTTAAAGAAATTATTGGTCTTATGAAAGTAAGTAGGAAATGACAAAACGACCAAATTGTTGGGATAATTTGATGTCCCTGATATTCATTAGGGGAGATAATTTTTTACATCTTGATGAATGGCAGTCCTAGAAAAACTTGGTATCTTGTTCAAGGGCAACAGGAAAAGGCGATCTTAGTAACTTTCCAGTTCACAGGCCACACTAACCCTAAGATTAACCATTGACATTTTATAGACTCTGTCGAGTCTGTCGGCCGTTGCTCCTCGTTTTATCATTTAGGTGCATGAAAGTAAAGCACCAACATCATGTTACTTTCTCGTTTTCAGTAATTTCAGTCTAATCAATCAGCTAACAGCTAGGGAATTAATGTCTATTATTACAGATAATTACACACTTAAATGACAGCTTCTGTTTTATTACATTCTCGTGCCGTACCATGATCTCCATTCAATACATATTATTAAAATAGGGCATGCACCCACACAATTTCATTCACTGCATTTTTATTTTTAAGGCCTTTGCTTACATTTAAAAAGATAACAATACCAGTAATAGTTGATTTTGAACATTACACATAGAGTTCATTTTCTCAACCTACAAGTCCAGTTTTCATTTCTGAGTCTTTCCTTCATGAGTAATTCATAGTAATTCTGACATCTCAGAATAACTTGTGCAATAAGTGCACTGATTTTGACTCTAGGTTTAAATTGGGTTATACTGTATTATGATGGCTGAGATGAGTTTGCATAATACAGGAAACACTGTGACCATCAAGTTCATCAAATTCCTTCCTTTTTTCATTGTCAGGATATTTCATAAAAATTTAAAGGAGAGGTACAAGTCTTGGCTGCTGTGTGTGGTTATAAAAAATAGTGAGACAGAGTTTGAGATTATGCCTGCGTCTTTTGGATTATGTACATTTTAAAGGTGAAGTGTATAATGTTATGAATGACTTAATTTGCAATGACTATTTGTTAACCATTTAAAAGTTGATTACCCTGAAAAGTTTGTTTGAGCATCCCAGACAGCCAGACACAGCAACATTGGCTCAATCAGTGGTGTGAGTTTGGGTATCAATGGTACAGTATCTGTTTGCCAATTAATGGCAGAGAGAGGAAAACCTGTTTGAAAACAGTCGTCTCAGAAATCACACACTTCACTTTTGAGGAAAAAGAACCAAAGTTATTATTTTTCTTGTCATGTTTATGTGAAAGTAGTTGAGAATTCACACATTAGCTGCTGATGAGAGAACTGAGGTTGAAGGGAACGCTGTCGATGTTTGAGATGTCTTGGCAATGAGGAAGTGTTAGAGGCTTCAAAAATGTCATCTGATTTCTCTTTCGCTCTTTCTCTCCTATCCATATGGTTGCCTGGTATTTTCTGCTGACAGATAGTTGCTGTCTATGGTTTTGGATTGAGACTAGAAGCACTGATAATGTGTGTTCTGAGGCCTCGCTGTAACGTCACATGATTTTTCCCATGACGGTTGCTCTTTGTTAGGCCATCACACCAAAAAAAATTCCAAGCAATAACCAATTTGGAAAAATAGTAAAAATAAGATGGTTGATGCTCATTATTGTCCAAAAAACAAGCATAATGTTTGATTTTTCATTCGCACCTCTGGGAAAATAGTTTGCTTGCTGCATCTTCATTTTGATGTGTATCTGTCTTCATATGTGGCTTATAAGATTACACACTGAAAATGTCTTACATTTGGGTTCATGACGGCAAAGCTGTTAACCAAGTCACTTTATCTTAAATCATATCCTCAGAGTTTGCCAAAAGTTCACCATTGGTGGTTATTGCAGAGTGACCCTTCAATCTAATACTGAATAGGTTACTCTCTGGCTACATTAGTTTTTGGTTATTCTCTCTATTTAGCTCTGGCTACCACTTGCAAACAAGGAGAGATATGCGCCCTCACCCCAGCGTGTCTCTGGACCCAGCAACCAACTTCAACCCTCCACAGTTTCGCTCCAGAAACCAGAGCTACATGCGTGCAGTCAGTACCTTCAGTCAGGCAAGCTGTGTCAGCCAGGTGAGTCCAACCACTCGCAACACCACATGGCACTGACACACAGGTACAAGCAAGGACTATCTACGTACAGTAAGTGGTTTCAAGCAGAGGGCTTTGGTCTGAGATGTTCTGCTCTTTTCTTAGATTGCGTCTTGAACTGATTTGGAGAGTAGACTTTTGAAGACTTTATGCTACCTTAAGTCGAATGATCTGTGATTAATCAAGGGGTGTTGACTGATCATTAGATGATCCAAGTTTGTCCAAGTTGGTTTAGGTGGAACAGTTGAATACTTCTTCTGGGGTCTTGTACAATCTGCTAGGTTATCTTGGTTAACTTGGTTGGAGTTGATAGATGACCTAGGCTAAGCTAGTGAGGAATAGGTTGGGCTGATTAAATGTTCCAAAACCTAGTTTAATTTAGGGGGTTTAGGTGGTTGACCAGCGTAACTACCAGCTGGTCAGGTAGAGAAAGACTGAGAAGTTAATCTTGGTCAACCTGATTAGACGTGGTAGACATCTTTGGCTAAACTGCTGGAGATATTAAGCTGATAAAATACATTTCCAAAAGCTAGCTTGATTTGGGTGGTTAACCAGCAGAACTACCAGCAGGGTGGACCAAGGACAACTTGAGAGGTCATCTTGGTCAACTGGATTAGAATTGGTAGACCGCCTTGGCTAAGCAAGTGGGGGATATGTTGAGCTCATTAACTATATTCAAAAACTTGATTTAGGTGGTTAACCCCCATATTACCAACTGACAGGGCCAGTGAGACCTAGTACCTGCCTGGTAAAAGCTGGTAGACCATCTTGGTTAAGTTAGTGGGGAATAGGTTGAGCTCATTAACCAGCTTGATTTAGGTGGTTGACCAAAAGAACTACCAGCTGGGTCATTCCAAAGACAAATCGGGATGCCATTTTGGTCAACCAGATTAGAATTTGTAGCTTTCCTTGGCTAAGCAAGTGGGGAATATGTTGAGCTGATTAATTATTATCCAAAACTCAGCTTGTTTTAGGTGGTTGACCCCCCCAAAATACCATCTTACAGGGCCGATACAGGCCCCAGTACCTGATCAGCCTGGTTATAGCTGGTAGACCATCTTGGCTAAGCTGGTTTAGCTACTTGACAGTGTTCCAAAAACATTTTGAGCTAGTTGACCAGCTTGACCACCTTAAACTTGAATGTTTGTTTGTTTGTCCCAACAGAGTTGTGGAGATATTTATTTAAGAACATAATGTTTTATCATGTTTGGTTAGAGAGACAATAACTTGATGTGGTTACCCTTGCTAAATTCTGTTCATACAATCAATTGCTAAAACAGGACGTCAGAAAGCTGAAGTCAAGGTCTGTTGAGCTGTGGTAGTGTTAGTTCATGTGGGCTTTGGGTAGGTGGCGGTATTATTGATGGAGTAGGTTACAATTGAGATGTTTTGTGGAGGTTTTATAGAACATGCAAACTGTCAAACACATTGGAAAATGTTTTAATTAGGGTAGGGAAAGTGTTCAAATTTGTGTTGTAGTTCTAGGAAGAGTTAAAAGCAGTAATTTAACAGTTACATAGACTATATATCTTTTAGCTTAATATTGAAGTTGATTTAGGAAAGTTAGCCATCATCTTCTTATGCTCCGTTTATGAAAATCTCTGTTTTCTTGCTGTCTGCTGCTGTTGACTGTTTGTGTCATTTTCCCTCCGAAAGTTCTTCAAACAATCTGCTTTTCTTCATTTACATATTATGAGATTATATTCCAGTTTGAAATGTTTTCTCTTATATTGTTGCTTTTTGACATAATTCTACTGAGACGCTCAAGGTCGGAAATTGCCAGTGGTATATTCCTCCTGCTAACACTCCTTCATATTTACTGTGCAAAGGGGAAGAATCAAAGTGAGAAAGAGAAAGGAAGAGGAAAAATTAAGGACTGCTATTCCTGTTTTTGTCTCTCAGGTGAGTGAGACTGAGGTCAATGGCCAGTTTGAGTCAGTTTGCGAGTCCGTTTTTAGCGAAGTAGAATCCCAGGCCGTGGAGGCCTTGGACCTGCCTGGCTCTTTCCGCACTCGAAGCCACAGTTACCTGCGTGCAATTCAGGCTGGGTATTCCCAAGATGACGACTGCTTGCCTTCAATGACATCTTCTACTGTCACTTCAACTCTCAGATCCACAACAGGTAACCGTATGCCTCAAATCCCACCTGAGAGAGAGAGAGAGAGAGAGAGAGAGAAAAGGCTTAGAGCACATACCCGCCATACATTCAGCACATGCTGAACTACATACTCTGGCATACCTACATATGTACAGTGGGATTCCCTTGTGCTTGAGAGATGACTGACTTGAATGTCGTTTCTGTCAGCTCCTGTCTGTTGTGTGTGTTTGCTTTTCTGCGTCTGTGCTCCCCGAGTGTTGAGAGACAGTTGCCTGCAATTCCCTTTGCACGAGTCATGTGTCCTTTTCTGGGCTTGTGATTGGTTGGGTCCAGTGGTAATGACAGGCTAGACTGGGGGTCAGAGGGACTTAGGCAGAGACACAACTCAGCATGCTTTTAACTAGCACAGCTGTCCAGAGCATGCAACACACCATGGGCAAGTATTTTCACGCAGCACAGAAAGTCAGGTTAAGGTTGGGCAGGAAGGCCGGCTTTAGACGTGTTCACAGTCCTTAAATTTTAAAAACGTGTCTATTTTCTGTCTTCTAAATATTGAAATGGATTAGCAATTAAAAAAATACATATTTTGGTTTGGTAAACTTTAAATGCTGTTTCAGTCCTGAATGCACAAAGCAATGACTGTGAACTACATAATCAATTTTATTTGATATTATGTGTTGCACAAAACATCTACATTAGTCAAAAGAAATTCACAATGCTTCAGAAGTCAAATCAAGATATTTACTTGAAAAACTAGTGAAATTAAAGTTTTTATTTTTCAACTAAACTAATTAGAGCAATAAGCACTTGTTTTTGAGTTCTCTCAGAACAAAAATTTAAAAACTAAATGCTAATGCTAATGTCAAGTGTTTAAGGCATAATATTTAGTGAATATTAGATTATTTTATATATAGATTATTTATATATAGTTACTTCTGTATGCTAAGCCAACCTCTCCACATGGTTAAATGCTTTATTTTATAGAAAATATTAGTTTATTTAAAAAAAAAAAAAGATGTCTGTTAACCACTTAATGGCTTGGTTTATTATTTTAATGATTATATTGCATTATATAGCGTTGAATATTTAGTAGAATATAGTAGAATATTTTCGCATTGAAAAAAATGTTTTAAAAAGTTTCATCGTAATATTGCATGTGAGCAATTTTTCTGTCATTTAGGTTTTGGTGGGTTTGTTAATGCGCTAATTGAATTATGATTTAATAATCTCTGTATGAATTCAAAAACTGGAGGTGAAAACAAATCCTATTATCCTAATCCAGTTTTAACAATAATCCTAACTAATGAGTAATTTTCACAACCTAAATGGGTTTAGGAAGACCTGACAGAGCAAGTGTGGAGGTTTTGTGCAGCACATACTCATGAGTAAGTGTGCATCACGTGTCACAGTTTCTTTGTGCAAGCAGAATGCCGCCTCCGCACCCTGTCCCAACACCCCTGCTGTGTTTGGTGTACACATGGAGTAAAGCTATGAACCCTATTGAAATGCCACAAATTGATGTCAAATGACACTAAAAATGCTTTTTTTTTCAGTTGTTTACATTTGAAAACCAAAATGCTAATTTGTTTTGTATGATTTGTTTGGTCGCTCTAGTCAAACTTTGTTTCTTTTATTTAATGTGGGCTTCTTTGTGTTTGTTATTCAAACTGGAGTTTGATTTGATTGGACCTTCATACTGTCAAAAACTCATACTGACAACACACCGAGGACTCTAAGGAGAAAGGAGAGCTCTCCAATCCCACCGTCTCACTCCGCTGAAGTGCTTTCACCACATATGGCTCTGTATGCAATCCCTGTCAGCTCAAGTCAACCGGCTGTAGGACAAAACCATTTTCTCAAAAGGATTTCATCCACTCTGTTTCACTCGGGAGGACTTCTTGTTTCAGCAGTCCTGTACTACTTTGGATTTACAAAGAGCACCATAATTTGTGTATGTGTAGATTCTAAATTAGATGCTTTCTTCCCTTAAAGACTTTTAAGAAAGTTCAAATAATTGCTTGAGCTCTGGTATTGATGCTCTCTGGTTCTATAGTTAATTCAAAAGCAATGACCAATCAGAGTAATGTTATCAAGCATATCCCATAAATTCACGAGTAGATGAAGCTAAATTTAGTTGCCGCTAAAATCATTGAGTAAGGTGTTGGGTGTTCTGTGATGGTGGAGAGGGAGGGTGGGCGTCATGGCCCCTCGTTGGCCATCACAGGAAGGAGATCCAGGGGAAAAAAAGCAGCTGGAGAGATGCCTGTCACAGGTATTATAATGTCAACACGCATACATCTTTCAATGGATATGTGTGTTTTTGCACTGCCTTCTCAACTAAATCAGGATTAGACCTTTGAAAGACACATCACTAAAGGTCAGATCCAGTGTTCAGTTGCCAAAGTAGCAATGCTTTTCGATAAAAGGCATTTCAAAAGTATTTTATTTTTTATTTTTTTATTTCAGAATTAAATGTTGTTGATTACCACAGAAAATTATTTTGATATATAACAAAAAAATTAACCAAAAGAAAAAAAGAAAAACGTGCACTTACAATGAAAGTCTACGGGGCGAGACATTCTGGAGAGTCTAAAATTGTGAAGCGATTTTTAGCGATGTTATCACACTAGTGTCATGTTGACGTGTAATGTTTAAGTGTTGTGGTGATATTTTTGCAATGCTTTGTATTTATACTGGTGCAATGCCTTGCCCCATATAAATCCATCGTAAGTGTAATAATATACCTATAAATGCATTATTTGTCTATTTTTACAAACTGAGGGATGAGTTTAAATTCTGTGGTAATCGACATCATGTCACAGACATTCTTATTCATTTTTTTTTTTTATGTGGTTGGGTCACTTTTAACATTTCTCTTCATTTTTATGCCAACCTTTGGCATCCTTGGAGAACAAACGTGTCCAGCAAAATGCGGTTGGAAGTAAGAGCTGGTGTGGAAGATTTCAGCTGTGATGGACAGTGGGATTGTAGCCTCTGCCTGGTGCAGCCCTCACAAAGGACTTTATTGGATCGTGTTTCTTCTTAATCCCGCCCCTATAATCTCCACATGGTCCAATCAGCTCGATAGATGGGCTTTTTAACATATTCAATAGGGTTCATATCTCCTTGCCTGAATGATTGCGTGACATGTTATTGCCTTTTCATCTTTCCTGTTGCACAAAAACAAGACAATCCTTAAAATTAGCCTTCACATTTGCCGCAATGCTCTGTGATTTGATAAAAGGTGGTTAATAGCATTGAGATATTGTTTTTTATTGGTTATGCTGTGAAGAGATGGAAAGGCTGAACAGATGAGATGTTCTTTGACGTGAGTGAGAAGGCAGTGTAAACACATATCTGAAAGCTATATGTATGTGAGTAAAAGAAAGTGAAAGACCCTGACAACACAATCTGCAATGAATTTCATTTAGTCAATTTTTAACATGAACCCTTTCATTAAACCAGGGGCGCTTCTAGCCTTTAATGTTTTTTGGATATTAATGGATAAATATTGCAGCACAATGTCATTCACAAGTTGCACATGTAGTAAAGATCTGCTTTGTTGTTGACAAATGATAGCCAAAATTTGGTTCCTACAGTGGAGGTAAATATCCACCTCATCCAGTCTTATGAAATATCCCATTCAGGGGCGTGGCTACCAGGGGAAAAGGGGGACAAAGTGCATAGGGACCAGAGGTTGAGAGGGGCCCAGAACGATGTTCTCTGGGGGGCCTAAACCCCCCCCCCCCCAAATTAATGTGATTTTGAGTGGGCCCCATAGCAAACTTAGTGCAAGGGGCCAGAATTTGTTCACTGTTGAAACACTGTTCCCACTGTTATTTTGGTGTGACAAACTTCTGCAAACGATTCCAACCCAGGCTCATTGAAAATACATGCTTGTAGCACCGTTTCTGCAACACCAATATTACAGTACGTACCTCATTGCATGTTTTGCGGCAGTTTTAAAAGTGAAATGTCCAGTGAGTGGCGCTAAAATGCATGTTCAATGCATGACCATAGCCACGTTTTTTTACATTGTTACAGGCACGTATTGCAGTAGTGCTGGGCGGTATGACCAAAAATGTATATCACGGTATTTTTCAAAATTATACCGGTTTCACGGTACATGACGGTATTTTTTTTCATGCATGACCGGGTGTTAACCATATTTTCTACTGATTGAGAGAGGAAATACTGCAGTATATTGACTTAGAATGCCCTATTTTACTGTCATGATAAGTGAATATTGTCAAAAAATACCACACTAAATAGTGACTAAACACAACCCCTTTTAATACATGTTAACCAGGAGTCACTCTCATTTATAATCACGACATCGTCTGATAAAATCAACATGCATCTACACTAAAGAGCTATGCGGTTGTTTTAGCTATATTACTTTTTTGCCTCGTGCAGCGCACTGCCTGCGTCTGAGTAACAAACTAAAAAAAAAAA